GTGTTCTTTTTATTCTTGACTTAATTTTGATTCATTTGATTTTTCAGTAAATTTCTAAAATAGAATAAAAAATCTAATTATTTTTTATCATCTTTGCCTCATATGTCCAAAATAATAAAATATTGGGTTAAAAAAAATTTTTCTTCAAATTGTAATTTGAATTCTGCCAATTCATTCCCAAAATATTTACAATTTACATCTCTAATTCTAATCCAAGTTTCACATGATTGATTCACAAATAATGAAAATAAATAAAAAAAATCAAATTTCTAACTATATTAACCCACTAAAAAGTAATTAGTCACACCCTAGTTTTTTTATTCATTTATCTAAATTTCGGAACCATATTTTGAAAATGATAAATTATATATTTTATTAAATCTAAATTTAGAGAGTGGTCCCATTCCTTTTTTAGATTATTTATTAATTACATAGCCGCATATAGACACGTTAATTTATATAACTTGATACATAAAAGCATTTATAAAAATAAATAATAATTTTTTTGTATAAAATTAATATATTCCGAATATAATATATATTATTAATATAAAATATGATTGATGATTAAAAATATATTTGCTGAAAACAAAAAGTAGAGGCACCTATGATTTTTGTATCTTCTAATGGAATTGCCAGCGTTTATACGTTGAATACATATCAAATCACATTATAAAACACAATAAGAATAACCTTAATCATGAATAAAAAAATATCACGATGGGGCACAAGAATTTTTATTAAAATTCATTCAGTTTATCAATGAATTAGAGTCTTTCAAAAAATAAATGATATAAGTTTATATCTAATACTAATTTAATTAGGAAATATATAATCCATTTGAAGATTACAATCGAAAAATCTTAAATTATGGAAGGAATACTTGAATAGTAAAGAGCGAATTGAATATCTGTACCTAATCTAAAAAAAGAGTTAGATTGGCTGAAAGTTAATTTTCAATGAATATAATTATTGAGATCAAATAAAGCTACACATTATGTTCCAAATGTATTGAGATCAAGATCCAAAGGGCTTCTAGAAATAGTGAATAGAAATTAAAAAAGCTAGAAAGGAATTTCTCACCAGCTCTTAAGAATAAAAGATTCTTAATAACATCAATAATAATTTGCCTAAAACTCTAACTACTAAAAATTTAAAATTATAAATTTCATCTTCAAGCAAGAAACCAACCAAATAATCCTTACCAAACTCAAAAAATAAGATGTTTTTCAAAACATAAACTTTTCACAATTACTTGATTTTTATATCCTAATTATAAACCTTATCAATCCTATTTAAGTGATTAGATTAAGGCTATTTTAGTAGATTATTCTTAAAAAAATAATAATCTCTGAGTGCATCTGGTTTTACATTAAATAAATTAAGAACTAATTTATGGGTGAAATAAGAGAATTAATTATTAAGAAAAACCAACAATATTTTGGTTACTTAAATTTCTTTATTAAATACTAAAAATAAATGATAGGAAGTATTATGGGGCTAATAAATAGAAGACTTAATTAATATGATGGATATTTTAAGGAAAACTGAATACATGTTAATTAATCTATTTTAAATTTCTTTTAAAAAAATCATCATTATCTAATCAAATAAATTCTTAATCTAATTATTTACATTTTTATCTGCAGTTTAAATTACCAACTTTTCAGGTATAATCAATTTAATTGTTATTTTGAAATTCCTTTTAATACTTCTCTAGTATGCTACAACTAACAAATTATATTTAATTTTATATAATTCAGAACTATTTGATATTATTTTTTCTAAGAAATTTAAGAATTATCAATACTCTATTTTTAACTATTTATTTATTATTTTACATCATATATAAAATTAAACTTTTCAACAACCAAATTAATTTTTAGGATTGTAAAAAAGTTACTAAAGAAAATTTACCTCCAATAAAGATTTAAATAATAATATTTCAATTAAAATTTAATAATTAGTTTCATTTGGAGCATTAAATACTCAATTTTATTATCTTTTTAATTGTTATATAAAAAAGGATATTTTATTAGATGGAACAATGCAAATTAGTATGATTTTGGATTATGGAATACTGGAATTCAATTTCTGAGTTTATTCTAGATGGGGAAGTGTAACTCAACAAGTCTGAATATAATATCAAATTGATTTATCATGTAGATGTAATGGGTTTAAGTTCAATAAAATAGAGAAGTTTTGTTAAGCTATTTGTGGTAATTTAAAAATTGAAGGATATGAAGAATGATGTGATAATCATTTTAAAGCGCCTGATGGCTGTTTTGAATGGAAATATTCATTTATTTATGGTTTTTACATTTTTAAATGGGTATATGTGAGCAAATTAATCAAACCTTCTGTATTGAGTTAAAATTTTAGAAAATTATTTATTCTAATGATAATTATGATGATACCAAATATAAATAAGAAAAATATCAATTAAGATATGAAGTTCCATTATATTTGTAAATAAGAATAATAAAATAACTATATAAAAGTCATGAACTCAAACATTATCTATGATCTATTAAATATTGAAAGTATCACTTTGCTTTTTGGATAGCCTTAAATATTTACTGATATATTGGATATGCTCCAATATATTTTACAGTATATTAGCATATACTTTCCCAAGAATTTATTTATCTTTTTTCAAATAAGTGATCTAGTATAGATGTTTTGATTACTTATAGTTTTATTAATATTATTAATTGATTACATCAACTTCCAAGAAATGTAGAAATAATTTATTCCTCATAATGTTATTTTGCCTTAATTTGGTAAATCATAAATATATCAGTAAAAAGAACTACGCAAATAATGTAATTTTTTGGATTAGTATTGATAAATATTCCATAAACTACGATACTGTTTTTTCTAACTTGAAGGATTTTTTTTAATTAATCTATCAATTTATCACAAATAAAGTAATGTTCTTTTATTTAACAAATTTTTTGTCCAAAATAAAATATAAATTTTTTCTGGGATTATTAAAAGCACTCTATAATAGGATTGGAAAATTGATTCAAAATATGGGTTATAAATTTAAAAAGTTTTCTCTATTTAAAATAGAATGAAAAAATTATTGAATAAGAAATTTAATATCAATAGTCCTTTCCATATTAATAATAGTCTCTTATGGATTAATTGCAATTAATGAAATAAAAACTTTAAATATTTAATGGTTAATCAAAAGCATGAATTAATTGAATAAAGATTTAAGGCTTTAAATTTATTAAGCCAAATATTATTTTTAGTTGATACAATATTTCTTTATCAGTCAGATGTTGTTTAATTGGCATTATTATTTGCCGGTAGTTTTGTATCGATAATATTAATTATAAATGTAGGAAAGATAATTGGGCTATAAGTGTTCATTATATTAATTTTTCAAGAAGGATCAATATAGAAAATCTCATAAATAAATAGCTAGAATATATCATTAAGTTGTTTAGCATTTATAGAAGATTTTTCTATTATTTTTTCATGAAAAAATAAAATTCAAATAGTGTTGATTCACATGGCTCTTTTATCAACAATAATTTTATTTCTGCTTTTAAAATTATCAAAAAATGCCTTAGCTGTTGCTATAATCTAATTGCTGAAAAAAAAAGAAAAAAAGAAACGAGTAATCATCAAATATTTTACTTGATTAATTTATCCTGAAACAGCATAAATGCTTTATGTATAATCAAATTATAAATTTATATAAATATATAAGTTTTTCAACATATCTAATTAGTGATACACTTAATACAATTATTAGACAATAAATTCATTATAAAACTTTGAAATGATATAAGTATTTCAAATCATTTTTTTGATTTCTTATTTAAAATAAAGCCAAATTCCTATTTTCTTTAGTGGGAATATATATTTGCCTAACTATGCAATAAATCACATTACGAATAAAATTCTATATAAAATATTTAGACCTTAAATGTTAAAAATAAACCACGATTCAGATTATATATAGATTGACTAATTAGTATATTACTCAAGAGAAGTTTATAATCATAGATTAATGATATCATCTTCAGCTATGACAATTTAAAAACTAAGTTTATTTGATTTTAGAATTTAAAATCTACCTTATTGATTTCAACAGAAACTGATGAACTTGTGAATTCACTAATCTGAGAATATTATCATAACAAAATTTTTACTTTCAGTAGAAAATCAATACCACCACTATATTAAAAACCTGTTAAACTCACAAATCCATTTTTTGAATTACTCAATGCATTTTGAAAAGTCATGTTAACAATTAAGGTTGTACTGATATAATTAATCACTTGATAACTACTTCTTCAAACAGCATACCATTTAAATCTAATAGCAAGTACTCCATAATATGGACATGAAATTTTTAGATTAAAATCTAAATTTATGAAATAACATATATTTACGTGTATGTTGAATATTTGTGACTTCCAAAAAAAATTATGCGTTTGTACTTCATGTTTCAACTTTTTCTAGGATTCGAATTATATTTGAATTACCAGGAAAGTAATCTGAAAAGAATATTTAACTAGTAATTGAATTAGATTAGCAAATAAAAATAGTTTTAAAATAGTCATTGAAATCTTTGAATATTTTGGTATCATAAAATATTAAGCTAGAGATAACACTTGTCAACATTATGAGGATTTTCATATAAATTTTTATTCTAAATAAAATTAATATAATCTTCTTTTATCTTTAAAAAGTGTTTTTATAGAAATGTAATTTAATTTTCATTATTCAGATTTCAATAAAAGTTAGTATATTTTAATTCTTAGAATGTAAATGTAAAATATAATTAATCAATTAAGAATTGATTTTAATGTCTTTTTTATAATTTATAACATCAGTTAAAATATTTGACTTATTTGATGTATCTAAAGAAATAACAATATATTTTAGGTTTAAAAAATATAATGAGTGTTTAATTCAAATTTCTTCTTCTTCATCAATTTCTTATTTTAATTTAGTCAATTCATAACTTTCATTGGTTTTGACTAATTTTAATTTTTGCTTTTTAAGTTAAAATACAATAGAATACAAGATATATCAATATTGTTAAAAGTAAAAGTTTTCTTAATGA